AATGGAATCCAGCAAGCCGCAAAAGTCCACACCGTGGTCTGTTGATGAGGTCCAAACATTTCTGTCTTTACTGGCCGAAGACAGAATACAGAAGGAGCTCGATGGCAGTACGCGAAATGAGAAGGTCTATAAAGAGATCGCCCAGCTCTTGCTCACACACGATTACCACCGTACGCATCAGCAGTGCAGGGACAAGATTAAAAAGATGAAGTGCGATTACCGGGCCATAAAGGACCACAACGGCCGAAGTGGGGTCAATCGGAAGACCTGGAGGTGGTATGCCGAGATGGATGCCATTTATGGCCACAGGCCTGCAAACAATGGACGGGAGTGTGCTCTGGACTCTTCTACCACGTCGAGAATGGGCGATAATGGTAAGTGCTTTGTAACTTTTATCTGTAGTTATTGTGAAAATGCATTATCACGTAACCTGTGGCTCAATGCCCACTGGAATGTATTTATTCATGTAAACGTTTGATTGTTGTCTGCTGTACAAAGTGAGCTAGCTACTTTAAGCTATCGATAGCAAGCTGCTGACACGTGCTACATCTTGCCATTTCACGTGTTGCCATTCAGTTTTGTGCTTTTACTTAAGTCGTTGTGTGTGTTTGTCTTATTGTAGAATCCCTTGTCGCAAGTGAAGCGTCGAACGACCCCCCAAGGTCCCCGTCCCCAATCCCTCCAGAACCAGCTGCAGCTTCCACGCCTGGAGATGCGTTCCCTTCGATGGCGAGCGACACGTCTAGCAGCGCACAGCGTGTGGTCACGGGTAAGGCGCGGGGCAGACATAATACATGATCGATAGATATTTTATTCATCACCCTGGGAGAAATTCATGTCCTATAGCAGCAAAAAAAATAATACAACTACATTGATACTGTGCCGCAACAGTGCAGCTCTATACCGACACCTGGTGGATCTCAGAAGTAATAGCATTCAACTCGGTGATGAATGTCAATAAAAAAAGGAATCGGACCACCTGTCAGTGATCTTTTTCCAAATAAAAAATCTAATTTGTGATAAAATACCACTTCACTTTGGTGTGAAAAAGAAATGCAGCAAAATGTAATTTTAGCTGCACTGACTGATTTGATTAATCTGGGTGTATTTAAGTCATGCTCATGCTTTGTCCTAAAATGCCTAAACATTGACCATTAAATATTGTTTATTGACAAAGCGTGAAACAAACATTACCCGATTTGCAATTAAGTCAAATGATCCCACACGTAACACTTTCTTTTAGTGGAGGTTTTTCCTCTTTGAAAGGGTAGTTGTTGCAACATCTCGGGTAGTGTGATATATACTGGTCTGAAACGTAATAATCTTTTTGCCTACATAAAAGTATGTCTCCAGAAATGTCACTGCTTTGGATAATTACCAACTGTTAATACTTTTTTTATTGTTGTACAGGGAAGAGAAAAAGGGCGCTCTTCCAGACGGAGACTGTAGAAATGATGAGGCAGATCCAAGCTGAAGATGTGGTGCAGCCGGAGCTGAACCGGACACAGCAACTCCAGCTTGTCAGAGAGTCGCAAGAGTTGGAAGCGACATTGAGGAGGGAGGAAAATGCACAGGCGGCTGCATTTAACCAATCATTTCTTGGTCTCCTGGGCCAGCTGGTGGAAGCCATGAGTGGCCGCCGAAACTGACACTCTTCACCAAGACACAGTGTAAATCATTTTATTGGTGCACTTTAAATTGTTTTTTTTTTAAATAAATGTGTGATTTTTTCCAAGACAGGTTTCATTTCTCGGTACACATCACAGTTAACATGCAAACCAAAGGTTTCACATTATTTGTTGTTAGTAAATCCTTAATTGTGGTAAATTTAGGAATCGAAGGTTTATTTATTCCCAGTCATGGAGTGAGGAGCCTACAGGGAACAATACAGACTACTGATAATGTACAGTGTTGGTTACAATACAATAAGCTAGGAAAGTGGGTAAGAAAGGCACGATAAAGAGTGTGTGTGTGCACGTGCGAGTGGCTGATCCAAATCTGAAAGGGAATAAAGGTATTTGTAATGGTGGGAATGGTTAATGGGTGTATGATTGAAAATGTATGAATTAATATTTCATTAATATGCAATATTGGCTCTCTGCATATACATGAACACATACATGCATATCCCACCAAAAGGTTACAATGACAAAACAAGTAACAGCACAAAAAATGAATCCATTATGACTGTCAATACTTGCGATACATTGTGTCCTGTTCTAGTGGTGCGTTGGACCTCTCCACTTGCCCTCTTGAGTTTCTCATTATTGCTATTAACATCCATATCTATATTAATGTTATCGGCACTATTTTTGTGCAATGCGAGCAAGTGCTGAAACCCATTTTTAAAAGTTAGCGGTCTCTGTAGTGGTATCTATGGAGGACTTTGGAGTTGTATGTTTGAGTTTGAGTTTTTGGCCATAAAGTAAATGTTGCGGATTTGGGTCCAGAAATTGGCATCTGGAGAAAATGCAAAGTCTTGACATCGTGTTGGGTAGTGTCAATTCCTGTAAGTAATTTGCATAATAGAGTTTGTTTTTGGGAGTGAACTTTAGAAGCTCTGCGTTTAAATGGGCCCAGGTTAACTGTTTGGATATTGATTTTATTTAGGATTATTGCTCTTCATTGTGAGTATTCCAGGAAGCATCTGCAGCAGATGGCATATTCCTGCGACTGTTCTGTGAGTGGTGACTGTAATGTGACCTATAGGAGTAATACCTGTACTTTCCCAGGAGTGAAATATGAATAGAAGGCATTTTTGCTGAATACAAAAAGGTTTATTTCTTGTTCCAAAACAGGCAAAATGTTTAGACATTGGACAGAAAGTGACGCATCAGACCCTCCCTAACATCACTGCCCCCCTCATCTGCACCCTGTGCCACTGCTACCACAGGCTGAACTGTTGCTACAGGTGTGTCCCATTCTGTCACGTAGGTCTCTCCATGGTTTTCGCACAGATTGTGCAGAGCACAACAAGCCAGCACCATAGACTTTACCAGTTCAGTGTCAGAGTCATTCTTTTTCAGAAGACAGCGCCATCTTCCTTTAAGCCTGCCGAAAGCATTTTCAACAACCACCCGCCCTCTGCTGAATTTTCTGTTGAATAGTTGCTGTTCGTCGGTCAGTCGTCCGGTGTCCTGAAAAGGTTTTAGGAGCCAGTTCAGCAGGGGGTAAGCGGAGTCCCCTAGGAGGTAATAGCCAGCAGTCACCCCACCAATTTCTCTTGTGTGAGCTGGGAAGAGGCTTCCCCGGCAGGCTAACTCCCACAAGTTAGAGAGTCTCAAGACCCTGGCATCATGCAAGCTCCCAGGCAATCCGGCAAACACGTTCCAAAACAACCCCTTTCCATCAACCACACCTTGGAGAATAATGGAATGCCACCCTTTGCGGTTGAAATAGTCACAATGACATTCCTGTGGAGCCATGATAGGGATGTGGGATCCATCAATGGCACCAACACAGTGTGGGACCCCCCATCTGTTCTCGTTGTAGGCAGCAATCTCCCTGAATTTCTCCTCTGTAGGACAACGGATCTGCGCTGGGACCAACACCGCATTTGCTGCAGCACAAAAGTCTTGCACACAGCGGCACACCGTTGTTATACTGACTCCAAAAAGGTGACCAATGCTTCGGTACTCAGAGCCAGTAGCAAGTTTCCAGAGTGCGATAGCCACTCTCTTCTTTAGGGGCACACATACCCGGTAAGTAGTGTCTTGTCGCTCCATAATCAAGCGCAGCTTTGTGCAGAGGTAATCAAACGTTTCTTTGGACATTCGGAAATTCTGCACCCACTGCGTGTTGCTGAAGCTTGGGACTACATTATCCCACCACTCGGAGGCTCGGTTTAAGGCCCACACCGATGGCTTGCGGCGGCGACGCAACCCGAGAAGCATCTGAAACACACACATACAGCATACACATTTTAATGATTTACAGAGACAGCCAGCAGCCATTTTGTTCAGGATGGCTGCTACAAAGCTAGCGATAGCAATATTAGCTTACCCACAAACGTCGTCTTTTTTCAGCTCGTTGTCTCCTGTCCTCAACTGCAAACTCCTGCAAGGTTTTCAATAACTTCGTCATTCTTTGGTGTCTCGCCGCCTGGATTCTTCTCAGGCTTTTCAGTCTATTTGTGACTAGTAGCCACAGAGAGAGCAGCAACACCACGATCGGCTCGGAGTCCTCCATTGTTTGAGGATGTAATGTTTTTCCTGGTTTCATGCTCGTGAGTCGCGCGGAAATGGCGTAACGGTAGCGGAAATGACGTAACGGTAGCGGTGGTATGAAAAGCCCACCCACTTGAAGATGTCCGATGGAGATATGTGGAAAAGCACGCGTACTCGACCGGGTCGTGACGTGTCGTGTAGAGTGGTGTAGTGCCGGTGCTGTGGAAAAGCGCCATTATATGACCATGTTACCGCGGCGCCATTCACTCACAGCCGTTCACAGCCGTGTTGTTGTTAGCGGCTCACAACCAGAGCGGCCGCGGAGGAGGCGAACTTCAGTTCACAGCAAACAACAGCCCCCCGGTGACGCGCGTATTCTTTTAAAACTTGAATTCCCAAAGGGCCTACCTGCTCTGATGCCATCTCACACGCAGCATTCTGAGTGATATTATGGATAAATGGGCGGGTCATTCAGACATGCGTTAATTTTTTTTTTACACGTAAATGAAACATTTAATTAACGTGAGTTAACGCGATAATTTTGACAGCCCTAGTTTTTACTTCTATCTTTAGATCAGCTTTTTATAGCTAACCCTAAAGCAGGACTAAAGCAGGTCTAAATCAGGTCTAAAGCAGAACTAACACAGGACTAAAGCAGGACTAAAGCAGGTCTAAATCAGGTCTAAAGCAGAACTAACACAGGACTAAAGCAGGACTAATGCAGGACTAAAGCAGGTCTAAATCAGGTCTAAAGCAGAACCAACACAGGAATAACGCAGGACTAAAGCAGGACTAAAGCAGGACTAAAGCAGGACTGAACAAGAGTAGACTCACCCCACTTCCACCAGGTCCCAGATCCAAGTCTCGGGGAAAAAGGTACGAACGGTTTTCTCTGGAGAAGGAGCAGGGACTGGGGTGGAGGGTCTGGTCTGAGACCCCACCAGCTGTGGGGCTGATGAAAGCCGTACCCTCGTTTCAAGTATAGCATGTGTACCATCTGCAAGCACAAGTCCACATGGGAGATTGAGGAACCCCTCTATTTGCAGTATGACTCTACAAGCATCAAGAAATGTTGCCCATTCCTCTTGCTGCTCACATTTTACGTTTATGAGCAGCAGTTTTCACAGATCACTTGGATATAAGTCTGTACTCTGCTTCTATCTTATGTAATGTTGTGTGTAATGTTTTATGTATATTTTGTGCTCACAATGACGGTGGTACGACCATGGATGGTGACCCCCGTGGTGGTACTCCACGCCTCTGTAGTTCACACACGACGGCGTCCGGACAAAGAGGTTGGTGGCTATTTTGAGTCCTCGCTCCTAGAACAGAAAGCAGCAACAGTACAAATGCATTAGAACTAGGGCTGTTTAAATTGTTTAATCGTTTAATCCTAACCCTAACCCCACAACTTAAAATTTAATTAATCATAATTAATCGCATTTTGAACTATCAACAAAATGATGCCATATTTTTCTGCAAATGGTTGTTTGAATGGAAAGATACATGACAACATAGTGTACATATGTACTGTATTTGTTTATTAGATTCAGATTCAGATTCATTTATTGGCCATGTGCAGTATAAAAACTACATTGGAATACATTTGCAAAAAAAGGTACTCTGTGTGCACCGACAGAATAAAAAGCACGATAATATGTAATATGTAATATAAAATACACATACATTATAACTATAATGTTTATTATAATGTTTCTAATAAACAAATAACAAATACAGTACATATGTACTGTATTTGTAGTGACTCAGACCAAAACTCTTGTTCGTTACAGATGAGGGACATTTCAAAACAGTCTGAAATGCAGAATGTCATTAAATCTGTTTGATTTACTTTTTGGGCACAAACAACATGAACTGGTAGTGGAAGGGAAAATTAGGTACCCCAGCTTTAATTTAGCGAGTGAGCTTCGGGAGAAGACACGGAGGAGGCTACGTAGTCCAGCTTCTGCGCTGTATTTTTTGTGTGCACCGGTTACGCAAAGACACGCACATCACAAGCAGAGAATAGTTCTGTGCGTGTATGGTCTTGGATATGATCACGTTAATGCGGCGCAGTTCGCCGTGATCACAGCCGCTGGAGGTGGGAACTGCTGTCCAGAGCGCCCGCAGCTCAGCTCACAGAGTTCATACAGGAAACAGCAGCAAGTGCCTCGCGGTCACGTGTGTAATCCTTTAAAACTTGGATTCCCAGAGACCTGCTCTGTCACCAACACACACACATGCATGTGTCCGCGGTATTCTGAGTGTTATTATGGGAATTTTCTTTCCATTAATGGGAAAAATTAATTAACGTGCGATCATATTGAACCAATAATAAGAACCAAAACGGATCAACCAAGGTCTCTCTCTGGTCTCGTACCCGTAGCAAATGGTAAACGTCGTTCTTGTTTGTTCTACTCCTGGTTTCCTCGTACCACCCCAGCTGACGCTTGGACCTCACTTTCACACAGCCCAACAGATCTTCCAGATGGTCTGGGAACGGCTCTGCCTTTTGGACCGGCAACATGGAGAAGATCTGCAAGGAAAGACCTAGCTCAGTCCTGGTCCAGTCCTGGTCCAGTCCTGGTCCAGTCCTGGTCCAGTCCTGGTCCAGTCCTGGTCCAGTCCTGGTCCAGTCCTGGTTCAGTACCTTGTCTGGGTCTAGTCCTTTATCTGGTTTGTGGATCAGAACGCTCCGGTCCACGGCGCTGAGTCCACACAGAGAGCGAGGTGCAGCAGAGACCAGGAGGGAGCTGACCTCACCTGGTACCGAGGAGGGAGGGGAGAACTGCACCTGGACCTGAGGAGTACAAGTACTAGTACTGATCCTGCTGATACTCTAGTATTACTACTACTACTACAACTGCTGCTGCTGGTACTGCTACAACTGCATCTGTCCAGGTGAAAGCCAGAGCCAGTCAAACCTATGAAGCTCAGCAGGGCAGGGCCTGCTGGTTAGTAATGTGATGGGAGACCTCTGGGAACACCAGGTGCTACAGCGGTTGCGGTTATAAAGTGCCAAACTGTTGTGTCCTTAGGCAAGACACTTAGTTAGTTTATTAATTTATTTCAACAGGGACAATGTGCAAATACATTAATTAAAGATGCTTTGCACCAGATTTAGCTTGAGCTAGTTTCCATCTGCAGTCCCTGAGCAGGTGAGTCACAACATGTACAATATAAAATATATTTAACCACTCAAATACAAATATTCATTCATACATTCACCCGTTACATCCATCAGTCCACATAAATTCATGCTAAAATTACTACATAAAACATCACTAACGGTCATATTTACATTTACAATTATCAGTGCTGACATGACTGGTTCACCAACAGCACTTTTTCAACCTGGAGAGACTACAAGAGACGAGATGCGTTTAAGAGTTGTTTATTTTATGGATTGAGTTTGTTTATTGGTTTGGAGCTTAGGCCCCGGCTGTGGCCGTGCTCTGAAGAGATCTGCGCCTGGGTGCAGATCATGATCCCCCGGGGCCTAGACACTGGTGGTGGCAACAAGGCAAGGTGAATGTGAGAGTGAAGAATTCCTGAGGCGGAGGTGGGGAGGAGGTGGTTGCAGCTTGAAGTCCGTTTGGTGAGCTGTGCTCTGCTTTGCTCTTAAACGCTGGCTTGATTGACACGGCTGCGGGGAGTTGATTAAGACAGGCTGAGTAAGGCGTGGTCAAGCCTGGTGTGATAACGTAGGTAGTCTACCATGCTGAACCTCCGCTTAAGCTCCATTTCAACCTGGAGAGACTACAAGAGACGAGATGCGTTTAAGAGTTGTTTATTTTATGGATTGAGTTTGTTTATTGGTTTGGAGCTTAGGCCCCGGCTGTGGCCGTGCTCTGAAGAGATCTGCGCCTGGGTGCAGATCATGATCCCCAAAAAGAGAGCTTGGCTAGCGATGCGTTTGCCATGACTTGGTTGCTGCGTTTATGGAAGGCGCATGGTGTGAGTGACTGTTTCCGTGCGCGAGCTCGGCTCTAGCGCTAGGCGTTGGCACGCGCACGAGCTCGGCTCAAGTGCGCGGCGTAATGTCCGGCGCGAGCTCGGCTCTAACGCTAGGCGTTGGCACGCGCACGAGCTCGGCTCGAGTGTGCGGCGTAATGTCCGTGCGCGAGCTCGGCTCTAGCGCTAGGCGTTGGCACGCGCACGAGCTCGGCTCGAGTGCGCGGCGTAATGTCCGTGCGCGAGCTCGGCTCTAGCGCTAGGCGTTGGCACGCGCACGAGCTCGGCTCGAGTGCGCGGCGTAATGTCCGTGCGCGAGCTCGGCTCTAACGCTAGGCGTTGGCACGCGCACGAGCTCGGCTCGAGTGCGCGGCGTAATGTCCGTGCGCGAGCTCGGCTCTAGCGCTAGGCGTTGGCACGCGCACGAGCTCGGCTCGAGTGCGCGGCGTAATGTCCGTGCGCGAGCTCGGCTCAAGCGCTAGGCGTTGGCACGCGCACGAGCTCGGCTCGAGTGCGCGGCGTAATGTCCGTGCGCGAGCTCGGCTCAAGCGCTAGGCGTTGGCACGCGCACGAGCTCGGCTCGAGTGTGCGCGGCGTAATGTCCGTGCGCGAGCTCGGCTCTAGCGCTAGGCGTTGGCACGCGCACGAGCTCGGCTCAAGTGCGCGGCGTAATGTCCGTGCGCGAGCTCGGCTCTAGCGCTAGGCGTTGGCACGCGCACGAGCTCGGCTCGAGTGCGCGGCGTAATGTCCGTGCGCGAGCTCGGCTCTAGCGCTAGGCGTTGGCACGCGCACGAGCTCGGCTCGAGTGCGCGGCGTAATGTTCGTGCGCGAGCTCGGCTCTAGCGCTAGGCGTTGGCACGCGCACGAGCTCGGCTCGAGTGCGCGGCGTAATGTTCGTGCGCGAGCTCGGCTCTAGCGCTAGGCGTTGGCACGCGCACGAGCTCGGCTCAAGTGCGCGGCGTAATGTCCGTGCGCGAGCTAGGCTCTAGCGCTAGGCGTTGGCACGCGCACGAGCTCGGCTCGAGTGCGCGGCATGCTGGAAATGAGGAGTTGCCACCACCAGGAGATGCATACGTACTTATATGAGAGGAGGCGCTGGGCTGCCAGAACGGATGAATGTGGTAGAGAACCGGGGACAGAGCTCCTGGAGAGATGATTGAGGGAGTCCCAGGGCAGCAGTCCAAGTGGCTGCTCCTATCCGGAAGGAGTGGCGGGTGTAGAGAAAGGAAGAGAGGTTACATGCAGGGAGCAGAGGTTTTGAATTTGTTCAGACCAGGGGGTCGTCGAGGGATTGTTTAAGGAGTAATTATAGTCTATGAATGTTGATAAAATGTCCATAGATGTTGTAGCATGTTAAAGTATCCTGGATCATCACCACGGGCCTTCTAGTTGGACACTAACTGTCCAGACCCTCCTGCATGGCAAGGAAAACTCACAAAACCCCGTGGGGAAAAAAGTGAGAAACCTTCGGAAGACCCTACATTGAGAGAGGGAATCCACTCCACGGACAGACAGGCTAGTCGTCCAGGACCTAAACTACAGAACAAGGACCATTGCCAATACTCCTTTAAGGATCTTCTTATGAGGGTGGAGCAGTGTGACTCGAAGTGGATTTTAGAGAATGTATTTAATGCCGATGTAGATGAGGCAGTGACGGCAGTACCCGCGATGCTGATGTCCAGAGACTGAGAGTGTGCAGTGAGAGGGAAAGGAGAATGCTGAATGAAGGATGAACTGCTGGTGTTTAGAGCGCTGATATTCGAACATGATTCCACTTGGGGAGACTAGAAGGTGAAAATGAGATTCATGAAGTACACTTACCCAGGAAGATTGATGTTCGATAGGAGATCTCTGGACCCCCAAAAACCAACGCACAAGGGTCCGGTCAGAATGAGGGCCAGGGTGCGTCCGGTAAGGCGAAGCGTGAGACAGGCCCGGCGGCAGGAACCGCACCAGGAGACCAGGAGAGAATACGCCTGGGGAACATGAGAAGGAGCACCGCCTACAGCCACTCAGAGTGCACGCAAACCGTGGCGGGCAGTGCTGCACACCAAAAGCCAATGAGTGCGGCCTGGGGAAGATAGCCGGCCAGGTTTGAAGGCCACGCCGAACAATACTCATGCAGTCTTAGCAGGCCAGCGTTGCAGCAGGCCACCGTCGCGGCGTTGTAGCAGAGCTTTGGTGCGGCGTTGCGGCATCGCGTTCCTGCGAAGCTGAAAAGAGAAACCTCGAACCACTATCACTTGAGTGAAAAGGACCAACGGGCAGTGTCAGACCACGTCTTCAGTCAGACCACGTCTTCAGTCAGACCACGTCTTCAGTCAGACCACGTCTTCAGTCAGACCACGTCTTCAGTCAGACCACGTCTTCAGTCAGACCACGTCTTCAGTCAGACCACTGACCTGATCCGTCGATGCCGGCTCTTCCCGTCATTGTGAAGCAGAACTCTCCAAGCGTTGGATTGTTCACCCCCCAATAGGGAACGCGAGTCCATGGTCGACACTGGTCCCACGATGACTGGATGAGAGCACACGAATGCGTCGAAGCGCGGCGTCGAGAATGCGGCAGGAGGCGGACACCGACGTGGCGTCAAACAGCGGCCACCGGCGATGAAGCGTGCGGTCGCCGACGTGCTGCGATGAAGCGTGCGGCCGCCGACGAGCAGTGATGAAGCGTGCGGCCGCCGGCGAGCTGCGATGAAGCGTGCGGCCGCGGACGTGCGCCGTCGTTGAAGCGTGCGCCGTCGTTGAAGCGCGCGGCGTCAAAGCGCGCGGCGTCGTTGAGGCGTGCGGCGTCGTTGAGGCGTGCGGCGTCGTTAAGGCGTGCGGCGTCGTTAAGGCGTGCGGCTCGTTGAGGCGTGCGCCGTTGTTGAGGCGTGCGGCGTCGTTGAGGCGTGCGGCGTCAAAGCGCGCGGCGTCAAAGCGCGCGGCGTCAAAGCGCGCGGCGTCAAAGCGCGCGGCGTCAAAGCGCGCGGCGTCAAAGCGCGCGGCGTCAAAGCGCGCGGCGTCAAGGCGCGCGGCGTCAAAGCGCGCGGCGTCAAAGCGCGCGGCGTTGTTGAGGCGTCGTTGAGGCGTGCGGCGTCGTGTGAGGCGTGCGGCGTCGTGTGAGGCGTGCGGCGTCGTTTGAGGCGTGCGGCGTCGTTTGAGACGTGCGGCGTCGTTGAGGCGTGCGGCGTCGTTGAGGCGTGCGGCGTCATTGAGGCGTGCGGCGTCGTTGAGGCGTGCGGCGTCGTTGAGGCGTGCGGCGTCGTTGAGGCGTCGTTGAGGCGTGCGGCGTCAAAGCGTGCGGCGTCAAAGCGTGCGGCGTCAAAGCGTGCGGCGTCAAAGCGTGCGGCGTGGAGGAGGAGTCGAAGCGTGCGGCGTCAAAGCGTGCGGCGTGGAGGAGGAGTCGAAGCGTGCGGCGTCAAAGCGTGCGGCGTGGAGGAGGAGTCAAAGCGTGCGGCGTCAAAGCGTGCCGCGTGGAGGAGGAGTCGAAGCGTGCGGCGTCAAAGCGTGCGGCGTCAAAGCGTGCGGCGTCAAAGCGTGCGGCGTCAAAGCGTGCGGCGTCAAGCGTGCGGCGTGGAGGAGGAGTCAAAGCGTGCGGCGTCGAAGCGTGCGGCGTGGAGGAGGAGTCAAAGCGTGCGGCGTCGAAGCGTGCGGCGTGGAGGAGGCGTCGAAGCGTGGCGTCGAAGCGTGGCGTCGAAGCGTGGCGTCGAAGCGTGGCGTCGAAGCGTGGCGTCGAAGCGTGGCGTCGAAGCGTGGCGTCGAAGCGTGGCGTCGAAGCGTGGCGTCGAAGCGTGGCGTCGAAGCGTGGCGTCGAAGTGGCGTAAG